AAAGAAATTGAAGGTACCGTGTTTCAAAACTTGTATGGTGGTATGAAGAAGAACGGGCACCCCATATTTAAATATACGTCATTCTGACAGGAATCTCAGAACAACCTGATTTGAGAAAGGGGATTTTAAAATAGGGATTTAAAAAAAAACACTGGGTGGATTTTTATCATTATAGGGTGGATGTGTACATACACTTCCAACTCACATTTATATTCAAACAACATGTAAAGTGAATTTTGCATCCGATGACCCCTTTAAATCTATTAAATATCAATGTTTAAAATATGTAAATGACATAAAATGTCAAGCTTTTGAAATAGAGTGTGTGTGTGTGTTTGTGCACTTCGATGGGTTAAATTCAGAGCACAAATTCCGAGTATAGGTTGCCATACTTTGCTGAAAAATACAAATATTGAATTGCAAATGCTAAAATGCATGATTGTATATAATCTTAATTTCTCGTGTGGTTGACCTGGTAAATATGCTATTTAAAATATGAAATTTGGCCACACTGTTATTATTTAATATGCCATGATTTAGATATCGGGCCAAAACATAATACAAATGTTTTCTAGATTTTTGAGGCCCTTCCTACTCAAGAAGCACAGAACCACAGCATTCGATCCCAGCCTCCTCGACTCTATACCCAATCTACCAATAAACCTTGACACAATCACAGCAGCGGAAACAAAAAATGTGATCTGGGCACTCAAGAATAGCAAGGATGCAGGCCTGGACAAGATCCTGCCTGAACTACTCAAATCTGGCATCCAGTGTCTTGTTGATGCCTTGACGGACCTACTTTTTTAAAGGGGTCATATGATGCGATTTCAAGTTTTCCTTTCTCTTTGGAGTGTTACAAGCTCTTGGTGCATAAAGAAGATCTGTAAAGTTGCAAAGACTAAAGCTGTAATGCTCAGAAAAATTCTAGATGAGATATCCGCAGCCGGTCAAGGAATAGGAGTTAGCGAGGTCCTGTGTATGTGTACATATGTAACTGATGTATGTGTGAAGCTTGTTTCAAAACATGAGAAAAACAAGGTCTGCGAAATGGTTGAAATTCTGGTCGACTACATACTAGATCGGGGGTATATGTCGTGTGTAAATTGTCTTTACTGGTTAGACAGTCTGTAACATTCTATCAGTTTTTATTATTACTTATATCGTACATTCATTATGTAACCATTTTTGAATTCTATTCTTTTAACGTCACTATGTAGCCATTTTGAATTCTATTCTTGTCATTATGTATCCAATTTGAAAACTATTCTTGTCACTATGTATCCATTTTGAAAACTATTTTTACTATCTCTATATTATTATTTTTTAATAAAAGACTGAAACGTGACGCTTGTACGTGTTATTCTTTTGCAGAGGGTTGAAACGTCAACATGTCTGAGCTCATGAAAAAAGTTTATTACACGCCGGCCAACCCTGGTTCTTTAGGAGGTAAAAAACAGTTAAAAGATGCCGTCTTAAAGGATACCGGCGTCCGTCTGAGCGATAAACAGACTGGCTGGCTGGGGAGGATGCGTACACATTACACAGAACAGCCCCTATAAACTACAAACGTAATAGAGTCGTGGTGTATGGGGTGGATACTAAGTTCCAAGCGGATCTCGTCGACATGTCGGTCTATTCCAAGGAAAATGACAATAATAAATATTTGCTGATGTGTATCGACGTATTTAGTAAGTATGCGTGGATTCGAGCGCTAAAGAATTAGAGCGGGGTTGAGGTTACTAAAGCGTTCAAGTCTATACTCGAAGAGGGGCGCGTTTCAAAGAAATTGCTGACGGATAGGGGAACAAAATTTTTTAACAAACATTTTCAAGAGTTGATGAAAAAGCACTACGTTCATCATTATGCTACGGCTACTGATTTTAAGGCCAGCATTGTGGAACGATTTAACAGAACGTTAAAAAGTCAAATGTGGAGATTTTTAACCGATACAAATTCATGGAGATACATAGATGTTTTGCAAGATATTATGCAGGGGTACAACTCTGAGAGATATTATGCAGGGGAATATTAAGATGAGACCGGTGGACGTCGACAAAGAAATTGAAGGTACCGTGTTTCAAAACTTGTATGGTGGTATGAAGAAGAACGGGCACCCCATATTTAAATATACGTCATTCTGACAGGAATCTCAGAACAACCTGATTTGAGAAAGGGGATTTTAAAATAGGGATTTAAAAAAAAACACTGGGTGGATTTTTATCATTATAGGGTGGATGTGTACATACACTTCCAACTCACATTTATATTCAAACAACATGTAAAGTGAATTTTGCATCCGATGACCCCTTTAAATCTATTAAATATCAATGTTTAAAATATGTAAATGACATAAAATGTCAAGCTTTTGAAATAGAGTGTGTGTGTGTGTTTGTGCACTTCGATGGGTTAAATTCAGAGCACAAATTCCGAGTATAGGTTGCCATACTTTGCTGAAAAATACAAATATTGAATTGCAAATGCTAAAATGCATGATTGTATATAATCTTAATTTCTCGTGTGGTTGACCTGGTAAATATGCTATTTAAAATATGAAATTTGGCCACACTGTTATTATTTGATATGCCATGATTTAGATATCGGGCCAAAACATAATACAAATGTTTTCTAGATTTTTGAGGCCCTTCCTACTCAAGAAGCACAGAACCACAGCATTCGATCCCAGCCTCCTCGACTCTATACCCAATCTACCAATAAACCTTGACACAATCACAGCAGCGGAAACAAAAAATGTGATCTGGGCACTCAAGAATAGCAAGGATGCAGGCCTGGACAAGATCCTGCCTGAAGTACTCAAATCTGGCATCCAGTGTCTTGTTGATGCCTTGACGGACCTACTTTTTTAAAGGGGTCATATGATGCGATTTCAAGTTTTCCTTCTAACGACATTATTAACTGTCTTGATATTTACTTTGAAAGCTGAAGCTCGCGATTATGGTAAGGGGCATTACATTTCCAACGTGTGCTTGTGGTGTTCGGCCAATCACAATGCACTGGGTCAGCTGGCCAATCAGAGCAGACTGCGCTTGTCAAAGGAGGGGGCTTTGTTGAAAACGATGTGTTTGAGAGAGGCGGGGCATAGAGGACCTACAATAATGTACAGTATTTGAAAAATAATGTGTTTTTTGAGCATATATAATGAAAATAGCACTGGTCCTAAAATGGAACCTTGCGGGACCCCACAGGTAATAGACGCCTTTGATGATGAAAAGCTTCTATCACTAAACTAAACTCTCTTTCAGTGACATGGAGAAAGTAATTCATGCTTTTATTTCTTCACGTCTTAATTATTATAATGCTATTTCTGAGCTTGTGAAGTTTCATTGTTCACAGAGATCTCTGAGATCTCAAGGCCAGCTACTCCTTGAAATTCACATCTAAAAACCAGAGGTGATCGTGCTTTTTCAGTGGCTGCTCCAAAGTTGTGGAATGGTCTACCAATATCAATCAGATCATCTACCTCTGTAAATATGTTTAAAACCCATCTTAAGACATACTTGTTTGATGAGGCATTTGCTGCTTTGTGAGGACTATTGGTTTAGATTAGATGCATTTATATTAGTTTATTTTATTGTATTTTATTTGCTCTTGCTGTATTTTTTATTATCTTTATCTTTGTATTTTGTAGTGATTTATGTAATTGTACAGCACTTTGGTATACTACTAGTACACTGATAAATTAATAATAATAATAAATTAGTAAATGGGCCAATTTAGTCCCAAGGAGTATTGAAATAGTACACTTACAAATACTACAAATACTACTAGTACACTGATATTCGTATACTTACTACATAAAGTATACTTTAAAATATACTTGAACTTTACTTAAGTATACTTAATAAATAAACTTGAAATATACTTCTTTTTGGTAAGGGAAGCTAACCTGAAAATGAAAACAGATTACACAGTTAATAATAAATGTGTGACAATAAAAACAGCGACTTGTGACACAGGAAGACAAAAACACAAAACACAGAAAAGGGCCGGTGCTACATAAGGTGAATAATGAAAATGATTTATCAACTGTGTGTGATCATTTGAATTGAAAGGTAATTTACTAATAATAATAGAATTATTTGATGTGACACTACATTAAAAACTAAATGACTGATTTCAATCAACACAAATAGAGAAAAGCACAGAAACACATGGTTACTAAGCAGGATTTACACAAGCTCCTTAGCTGGCATTGACTCAGGATTGATCTCTGTGGTGGGAATGAGCCGGGTCTCTCGGCGACACCAGACAAAGGAACAGAACAAAACTGTCAGTACAAATAGACAGAGGGCAACAAGGTAACTGAGGGGTAATACACATTATCACACAGTAGGATTCACACACACACTGATCTTACTGTCTATATGAGGATTTATTACACACATTTATTCTGACGTTATTTTACTGACAGAAGTTCAGCTGCACTATTAATGTATTGAAGAGAAAAGAAGAGACTCTATAACATCTCACTGTTACTGATTCATCATGCAGCTCAAAGCATGATGGATAGAATTGTCAATCTATTCTGATTCATCAACACAGCTTCACTGATGATCCTCTATGAACAACATTAAACCCAGGATAGAGCGGCTGAGTGAATGTGGTCTGGACTGTGTGGATGAGGCTCATTGTGTCAGAGACGCTGTAGAAGGACAGAGTTCCTGCACTGTGATCCACAAACACTCCTATTCTACTGCTGATGGACTCTACAGAGAGATCAGTCTCTATGTTATTGTGTCTGAATGAGCAACTGGAGGGAAAGCAGATCAAACTCCAGGACTGATCATTAGATCCAAAGAAACACTCAACACCTGATCCCTTCCTG